CTCACCCTGTGTTTTATTGATGATTTTCACAATCTGCGGCTGCAGCCGTAACACGGGTGTCAATCACCTGACGGACCTGTTGACACCGACTCCCCGCGTGTTAAATTATGAAGCCTGTAGTCGGAGGCTCTGCTCACTTGTTTATGACACCAGTAATGGCAGTAATTGTTATTGTTGAGATTACCTGTCAGGGCGACATGTTGGCCAAGGCGTCCCCCTCTTGACGAGGGCTGACAGGGGGACGGAGAGGACAAGAGGGTGAGCGTGGAGTGGAGATTGGGGGGTTGCGACGCCCTGATGACTTTTCCACTGATAATCAGCCGCCGCGGCCTGTGGGATAATTCATCTGTCACTGCCACCTAGCAGGGCCCAGCGTCAGTCACTGCGGCCACAGCTGGTGTCCCTTTATTCTGGACTGCAGGGGAGGGTGGAGGTGTAAATGAGAGTGAAGTGGTGCTGGAGCAGGTGGAGTCGGAGGTGTGAAGATGGCGTTCAGGGCCGGGCTGTGAAGACGCCACGCGGTCGGCAAAGGTGACGACCGGCTCCAATGTGCAACGTTAGCTAAAAAAACAAAAAACAAAAAACACAGTAAAGACAGGGAAGAAGTAAGTGCAAGTTAGCTGAAAGATAGCACATGTAGCTTAGCATTAGCCCATTAGCCAAAAATAGTTAGAGTTATTTTGAAAGAAATAAACGTTAGCCCTCGTCAGATTTAGTCGTATGAACTTTACTGTATGTACTTGACATGAAAAGAAATGCAATATATGCATGTTAAATATATATTCAATATATTGCAATTTTTTTACAATATATAGTATATTTTTAAATATACTTTTCAATATATAGAGAATCACTTTCATCAAAAAAAACCAAAAAAAAAACCCCACAAGAAACCTCCAGCAGATCCAGACTCAGAATGTGCAGTCGCCTGCCTCGGCCACAAGGGTGTAAAAAGATGGCAGGAATAACTGTTCCACTGTTTTAACCTAATCTGAGACATATTTTTTTGACCGTATAATCCCATGTTTTACTGATTTTCTACTGGATTATTTTGTTTTTGCCCCTGTTGCCCCTGTTGCCCCTGTTGCCCCTGTTGCCCCTGTTGCCCCTGTTGGCCCTGTTGGCTCCTGTTGGCTCCTCCACAGGACCATGAATCAGACACAATCACTTCATAACTTGATTCTGCCTCATCACACACTTTTACTGCTGTGGCCTTTGGCTGATTGACAAAATGGAGCGCCCCCTTCAGCACCTCCATCACCATCAGCGCCTCCATCAGCACCTCCACCGTGGACCACAGCTCCAGTCAGACGTGTACATTAACAGGAGCTGCTCCTGGATATTAAAATAAAAGCTCCTCTCATCTCTTATTCAAATGATAGCATTAGGCACGGAGGCATTTATCAGCCGCTGCAGGAGTCGGGTTATAAACAATGCCATTCATTATCTGCCCCAGATGCAGGGGTTGTTGATTAAAGGGCTTTGAATGTAGCACGCACACACACACACATACAGATGGGTGGACATTAGAGAGAGAGAGAGAGAGAGAGAGGCCGAGTGAAAAGGCTGGAGGGACATTAACGGCAACAGTGATTGATATTTGCAGCACAGCCTTTTTAATGGTATTGTTATTCCTCAGAGTTATACCCCGTCCTCCCCACGTCTCGTCTCCCAGATAAATGGAGGTGTAATAATGAATAGAAATTACACTGATTATTTTTGGTAGAGGTGGGAGAGAGTGAGAGAGAGAGAGAGAGAGAGAGAGAACGGGGGGGGTGGGGGTTCATACTCTAACACAGAGCTAGTCAACTGTTCAAAAACTGGACATTTGTAGAATTCTCACAAAACACTGTTGATGCTCATAAAATAGTTTTTTGAATAATTTTATTAGCATTTATTTTTAATTATAATTTGTGAAAATTTTTTTATTTGAGTCTCAATTCAGTTCGGCTGCGGCCATGACAAATGTTGCGTTCCTGGTCTGTCATCTGTACGACATTTGTTTCCGATGGTGTTGCCCGCAGACTGGGCCACTACAACGTTAGGTCTGGGCCACGTGGATTCGTGGGTCGCTACTTGGTTAGACCAGTTGTAGACTCGTTGTAACCCACATCGTACAGAAATCGGAAGTTAATACCGCGACATCTGGTGACATATTTATCTGTTAGCATATTAGCTCTTACCTAATGCACAAGAACGGAGATTAGCGGAATGTCTCCGTTTGTTAGCATTAGCCTTTAAAATTCCATGTTGGAGAATTTGAACTAACGATCCACTAAAGTATGAAGTTAGTTCAAGTTAGCCAAAAAATACTGCTAAATGCGATGGGTTAGCCCAAAATGCTAATCGGCTTAAACATGTAGCAAATCTTAGCAAAAAATATTTTAAATTAGCTAAAAGGTAGCAAAAAAAAAAATAAGATAGCAGATACAGGGACTAGAGTAAACTAAGATATATGTTAGCTAAAATATAACTGTAAGAAAACAAAAAAAATTGGGCTAATTATTAGCCAAAAATAACGTGAACAAGAGTCAGGAATATGGCTGCTGTGTTAACAGGTTAACTAACTAGTAGCTGGTTAACGATAAATGTTTCAAATGTAATGTTCTACAGCAGAGGAAAAATGTGCTAATAATTACTGTGTGTGTGTGTGTGTCATCCTGAGAGCTCACACACACACACACACACACACACACACAGCTAAAGTGGACAACGCCAAAACACATTATTTGATGTGGGAGGCCGGCTTGTCCAAGGCAGTTGTTTATTACGCACTTCTTTTGGCACTGCTGTAGTTAAATGGCCTGCCAGCACACACACACACACACACACACACACACACACACACACAGACACGTCCAACATCTCTCAGCTGAACCACTTTCCACCCAAATTCTGGCCATTATCACGTTTCAGTTCCATTTGCAGGACTCAGCTGTCGTTCCGCTCCTCTGCTCTGATCCTTCTCTAATCTGTCCTTTCTCCACTGCTTCACCTGATGCTGACGCTTTTGTTTTTTTTTTTTTTATTTCCCGCTACCTCTGAATTTTTTTCATCTTTAGACTTTTTCAATTCTTCTGACATAATTTTTCAATCAACTCTTGGTCTAATTTTTAGCTACATTAGCATTTGTTTCTAATCTTTCTGCGATCAACGGCGGTAGCTAACCCCAGAGTACGACTATGCTAACTGTTAGCTATCTTTCGGCTTTAGGTATTTGTTCTGGCTTCTCTATTAGATATATTTTTGGTAAATTGTTAATCTAATCCTAATCTAGTTTAAGATAGAGTATGTTAGGTCTAATTTTGACTTCCTTCTGGCTTTATAGTTCTAACTCGTCGTCGTTGTCGTCGTTGGGTCAGTTTTAAGTACACGAGCTAAGTGCTAGCTTCGTTACTCGTCGGTTATTAGATCAACTTCCTGCTTTTATCCATGTCTTCTCCTCCATCACTGTCTTCTCTCCTACTCTTGGGCTGTAATGTTGGGATGCGTCCCTGTAGTGCTCCCCACCTCACCCCCCAACCTCACCCCCCCCCCCCCCCCCCCCCCCACCCCCCCCCCCCCGACCGATGCGTCCCTGTAGTGCTCCCCCCCTCCCCCCCCAACCTCACCCCCCGCACCCTCCCACCACCAGTCCTCCACTCTCGGAGTAATCAGGGCCAGATGGAGGCAGAGATGGAGTGATGGAGGGAGGGAGGATTGGGTTTGGTACGAGCAGTGTCTTAGATCGTGGGGAGCTGTCAGCCCTGCAGGGAGAGAGGAATTCTCCGGCAATAAAACCAGGATTTATCACCGTTCTACCACAGCGAGAGAGAGAGAGAGCGAGAGAGAGAGAGAGGGAAGAATGAAGAGATGAAGAAAGTCAGATTTCTCAGCGAGTAAATGTAAAGACTGAGGCAGACGGAGAAACCCACCCAGGGATAAAGTGAGAAAAAAAAAACAAACCCCACTGAGATTCTACATCTTGTAGACCATGTGACCATGTGACCATGTGACCATGTGACCCCAGTCCAGTCAGAGGACGGACAAGTGGAACATGAAGAATTAAAAAAAAAGTCTAGAAAAAGAAACCAGCAGCAGGAGCCCAGAGTGATGTCACCGGCAGCTCGTCCGCTCTCTGTCCCGACACTTCCTGTCTCTCACCATCTGCAGGGTCACGACGAGACCAGCATCTGTCGGGAAGGTAATGCCCCGTCCGAGCCCGCGGGACGGCCAGTCACACACAAAGACTGCCCCCCCCCCACTGGGCCAAATGAACCTGCTAA